CAAATGTCTGTCAACAAGTTCAGACACGTTTTTGACGTAAGGAAGGCTACGCCAAGTATATGACTTCTGACTGCTACTGCCTGAATCTTTTTTCTCTGACGATTGTTGTCTCACACAGCGACGTATAACTTCTCGTGGATAACCGTTTTGGGAGAATAACTCAAATAGGTAACTCAGTTCTTCCTGGTAGCCTTCTTTGTCCGAGCAATGCGTTTTGGCTCGATTTGACAGACTGTTAACAGTGCTCCATTTATGAGAGATAGGATGGTTGCTCTCATAGTTTAGGATGACCTCGGCATGCGTAAACAGTTGTGCGTAATGTTCCATCGAACTGTCGCTGTACAAGGACACCGAGGAACGGGAGCTTGGCGTCGGATTCTTTTTCGAGTGTGAATTTAATTCTGGGAAGCGTGGTGTTGAGTGTGTTGTGTTGTGTTGTCTGTTAAATCAAGCCAAAACGCGGTGGCCGCGCTGAAAACCATGAGAACGGATAGCCGTATGCGCACACGTTTTGCATGACGCGAACTCACCCAAAAAAACTGAATTAACAGATATTTAACTCTATAACCAGTTAAGTGCCATGCGCGCCCACCATATAAGCCCTGAATAGTCCAGAATAGTAGTTTCCTAAATGTACTGTTCTAATGACTACTGAAGCCGGAAACCCTAATTTATCCTACTGTGTGGTGTTATTGGTTTGTAAGAAAGAGCAGTCTAAATTAATTGATAAGCCACATCTAATAAAGAGGTGCAGGGAGGTGAACGAGGAAGAGTGGTGTGGTGGAGGGCGATTTAGTAATAGATCAGAACAGGTAACGATCGAAGTTGTGATAATTACTTGGCTGAAGGCATCCACTGGATGGCGCAAATATTTTTGGGATCTGGACGGCAACTAGTGGCATCAAAGGTGCATCCGAGGTACTTGACTGAATCAAGGAAAATTGGCAATTCTTGGATCTCAAGTGGAAGCCATATGCATACATGTACATGCGTTCAAGCACTACGTTCACTTGATCTTGGACCTCAGTCGGGGAGCGACCCATCGTGATGATGTGGTACAGGTACCCAGCCGTGCCCGGAATGCCGGAGAGCATTGCGCTCATCGTTTATTGGAACAGGACCGGAGCGATCTCGACACCAAAAGGCAGCCTACTGTACTGGAGCAGAGCGCGGTGTATATTTATCGTCAGCAATTCGCGCGACACTGGAGCGACTGCGACCTGCAAGTGCGCATCAACCAGATCGAACTTGGCAAAGAAAGTGTTACCATCAAGCAGGGTGAACAGACCAGCAGGGGCCGACAGTGGATAACAGTTCGGCACCAGAGCGACGCTGTGGCCGGTAAAAAGTCAGGGTAGTTACAAATCGAAACATTCGGCTTCTTAACCATAACGATGTGAGCAGCCTGGGTGGAGTAGGACACGGGTGCCAGAACTCCAAATTCTTCCAGGCACTTCAGTTCGGCAGCGACAAAAGGCAAGGCTGCATACGGAATTAGTTGTTAGGACGAGCCTAACAGGCAGATAGCATGCAGCAAGCGGCCGTGCCTACAACAGGCTGTCGATCGGCCTACACGCGCCGAACGCAGACAGCCAGTCAATCAATCAATAATTCAAAATTCAAGCTGCAGTTAGCCGTTGAGTCACAAACCAATTGTACCGCTGTCCATGCCAGGACAGAAACTGATTGGCTCGATGGGCATAGCTTTACACGCGTTTTTTACCTTAAATCTGTTTTACTAATTGCGCTCAAAGACTTCTGCTTTTGCCCTCTTATTGTCGTGTTCTTCCTTAGGGACTCACACAAGGCATACATAGGCAGTGACATCTCGGCCTTGGCTGCCGTTACAGCAATTGGCGACGCAGATTCGGAACACACTATGTCCATCTCTACAGAACAATTGCTAGCTATCCTGCAGCAACAAAAAACTCAATTCTAAGCGGCTCACAGGAAGTTGTTGGAGTCCATGATGCAAAAATTCAGTTTGCATTTTTCTGACCCAGATTCTTCTGCGAAACAGTCCACATCAGCGGACGCAGCAGCTGCTTCTGTCACAGAGTTCACTTATGATCCCGCCTCCGGCGTTACCTTCGACGCTTGTTTGAAACTTTGTGATGACATATTCCGTGTGTAGTTTGCCAAGGCTGATGATGCTGGGAAGATGTGCCTGCTAGTACGCAAACTGGGGACCAAAGAGCAAGAGCGGTACACAGATACCATTCTGCCGAAAAACCCTCATGACTTCACTTTCGACGAAACCGTCAACCTCCTGTCAGAGATCTTCAGCGATAAGTTCCCCCTGTTCAGCATACGATACTAGTGTCTCAAGCTGGTCAAGGACGAGACAGATGATTTTCTGACATTCGCCAGTATCGTCAATCGTGAGTGTGAAAGGTTCAAGCTCCGAGAGATGACAAAAGGTCCATTTAAGTGCCTCATTTTTGTGAGTGTCGTGCAGTCACCTCGTGATGCTGAAACCCGGACGCCTCTGCTCTCCAAAATTGAACAGGGCCCAGACTCCACTCTGCAGACATTGACGGCCGAGTGTCAGCGGCTCAAGAATCTTAAGTATAATTATGCGATCGTGGAGCAACCCAGTTCCTCGTTTGCCGCCACCAACGTTCATACTGTTACTCGCACGAAATCGACGTCACCACAGAAATCTCAAAACTACACGTTCAAAAAACCTCCATCAGCATGCTGGCAGTGCGGTTGTTGGCATTTTTTTCGCTTTTTGTCCATTCAGGAAGCACGTATGTCAGAAATACCAAAAACGAGGGCATAAGGAAGACCACTGTCCGGCTGGCCAACCCCTCAAATCAAGGCAAGCGACAGAAAGAAGACACGTTCCAAACGCCCTTCATCTTACCCGGGTCTCAAGTCTCACACAATCCTAGCCACGTTCTAGACAGAATTTGAGGCAAGGAGGAAGCATCTTACGGTTACTCTCAATGGCAAACATGTACACCTCCAGCTTGACACAGCCTCAGACATCAGCCTCATCTCCAAGCACACTTGGCAGGTGATTGGACAGCCTCCGATGATCACATCGGACAAAAAGGCTATGATTGTTTCTGGCCAATTTTTCCGGCTTACGGGTGAGCTTGAATGTGACGTTTTCTTTGAGGGCACTTAGTTCAAGAGGACGTGCTACCTTACGAACCGTCCGAGTCTTCACTTAATTGGCCTTGATTGGATCGAGAACTCAGCCTCCTGGATTTACCACTTAACCCCATTTGCAATGGTGTGCATTCAACTTGGCCGAGTCTCGCCAAATTGAATCAGTTGACAACAAATCAGATGTCGACGCCTCCAACTCCTGCCAAGGTGCACAATGAGGAGAAAAGGAAGGAGGAGGAACCGGGACAGAAAGCGCCAACAGCTTCGGAGCTCCGTCAGACACCTGGTCGGTCAACTCGCAGCAAAGCGCTCAAAAGGGATGGTGCCCCAATAAAGTCCCAATCCCCTTCTCCCACGACCGCCGTCGACTCCCAAGACCCTTCCATGAGGGACCCCAGCGCAAAAATGGCACGAACTTCAGCCTCCAGACGACCAGGCTGGAAAAGAATGCAAACGG